TGCCAATTAAATAAATTAGTTTTATGTAAATTTTGTGATTATTATGAATTTGTTCTACACTAAAGATTAATATTATGATCAAATGATTTCTAAACCAATCACAAACAATTATCTCTCTTAAATCTACTTGCAATCGCAATTTATAAATTGGTTATATATAAGTTTTTGTTAAAATGAGTATAAGTAAGTAAAAATGAGCAAAAAGTATTGAAACTAAAAATATTAACTTTTAAATAAGATTTTATATCAGGTTTTTTGTCATTTGTTTATTTATTTATTTTTTTTAGCATTTTCATATTTACAAACCTCTTTTTTTAAAGTTTTTAGGCTATTATGCTATATATATGAATTACATAGAAGATCAAAAGACAAAAATTTTGAAATATTTTATTATAAACCAAATATTTTTAAAAGTACAGGTGTAAAGTGAAATACTCTTAGTAAAAATACTGTATTATGAAACCAATTTCAAAAATAATAATGTTTAATATTCATTTTTCTAGAGACTTGTTATGTTTTTTTAATTAGAATTGCCATGTTATTTTTAATAAATTTATTATATTTCTTCTTAAACAGAAGAATTATATACTGCATTATTAAAAGCCTTAAAAATTTATATCATATATTTACAGTATTAACATCATAATGTTTCTAAACCCAATTATCACATAATGTGATATAATTGATTGGAGTCAAATCCGCCCATATGAAAAATGCTAAAAATAAAGAAATCATAAATAACGCAAAATTTTACTATGGCAACCGGACTTTATTTTTAAGTAAAAAATGCGTAGCATGAAATTTTACTTATAGGAAGAGTTTTTTATACTAAAATAAACAATATATAATTATCAAAATTGGGTGTTATATCGGATGTAGATCATTTTCGTGACATAAGGAAATCCCTGGTGCGGATCCCAGGCGCTTTATTAATTTTTCGAATAGTTGACCTTCGGTTAACTCATAAAATACAAATTTCTGCGCCTGTGCCTATTCCCATGCCAAATTATTTGTCCCGTGCCTATACCAAATGTGCCTTTTGTTGGGCACAGCGGGTTGCAAAAAAGGGGTGCTTATTTTCGGAGGAATACGGTATATGAAAAAATTAGAATTAGGGTTTGTTTTTAGAACCCTATCAGGAACAGTACTCAAATAAATTTCATCAATGCACCTTCGCTAGAAGTTTTAAAAAATTTTCAAAATTAAAGGACCTTTATTTTTATTGGCACAAAATCGGAAGATTGCCACGTGACAAGAAAATTTCTTGTGGGTGATGTGTATAATTTGTTTTTTGAATATGTTATGAGACGATTCAAAACATTGCGCTCAACGATTTTAGATATGTAATAATATTTTTTTTTTTACTTAATTATAAAAATAATTTATATAAAAAATTATTAATAATAAAGTTTATTATATTGTACGTAATTTGTATCACGTGTCTAAGGGATGCACCGCACCAAATTTATAAAACCCATAGATTAAACGTTAACTTCTTTTCTTAAAATCTTTTCAACCGTATCCCAATCATCAGTAGGTACTTTTACAATATCACGTTGAAAATGCTTTTGTATAGATTGTACCATTTCCCAACTAACAGCGTCATGAACAAAGTTAATGGAAACTCCGGTACGTCCAAATCGACCGGTACGTCC